GGGGGGGGGGGGGGGGGGGGGGGTCCCAGCCTTCTCCACCCCCACCCGCAGAGAGATCCCGAACCGCGAGGAGGTTCCCCTCCTCTCCAAGCAGCAGATTGCCTCTTGCTAATGCTTATCCCTCGCGTCCCTATGGAAAAATAAATCCCCGGCATTTACCTCGGTCCGGGGAAGAGAGAGGGCAGAGAAAGCCCCAAACCCACCAAGTAAGACCCGAACCTACCAAGACGGCCCCGAACCCACCAAACTTTTTAAGACGATCCCCCAACTCTTGACAGCGCCCTCCCTCTCTCCGTCCCTCTCTCGGGGCTCCGTTCCGTTGGCAGCCCGGGACCCCGCACCCCCCGCCCCTCTCCCGCCGGCCTCCGTCAGCCGCTCCCCGCTCAGAGCCGCTCTCCTTCTCCACTGCGGAGCGCTCTGAGAGCACCCACTATTTAGCGGCGGGTTTTCGTTTCGGCGACATCAGTAAAGACAATATTTCCCAACGCTTCTACTAAATCATCCTTATGGGGCAGAATTACCGAGGGCTATGAAATTTTTTGGTTTCCCCGCTTTCATTAAAAACCTTTTAATTGTGTCTTTCGGAGTTGGCCCCAGGTGTTGGACTCTTTTCATTACATTTTGCTCTAATGTGATGAAATTCTAATTCTCTCCTTACCATATGGTTAAATTTCCCCACTGAGAATTAGTTGAAAAAGGAGAAATAATCTATTAATCTCTGTAATAGATTCACAAATGAGCTTTGCCACAGAACCTGTTTTTGAATGGTAATATGGGAACAGTTGGGTGCCTTGTTTCAGGGAAGAAAGGAGCAGGCGACAACAGCAAACGTTTGAATTTTCACCTGGAAAGAATGAAAAGGAGCCAAGCTGCGGATCTCCGAGTAATTGACTGAGATTTCAGAGAGCGAGGACAGGACTATAATGCGGACCTTACAATGCACACCCCGGCACCGGGTGTCCCCAGGCCAGCCGGGCCCTGAAGGACGGGCTGCCCCAGCCCTGTCCCTTCCCTGCCCTTGCTCCTCTCCCTGGTCCCGGCCAAGCGAGCAGCCACCGAGCTGCCCACCCCTTGCCACGCGTTAACCTCCATCGTTAGCGATCCAAAAGCATTTTGCCTTTTCCCCCCGCCCACCATTAGCAACTTCCTTTTCCTTGGGACCTTCAACAAAGGCGTTTGTCACCGCAGAGTATTTATTTATTATTATTATTGTTATTTTAAATTTCAATCAGAGCCAGTTTATGAAAATCACGCGGTCACTTGAGGATGACGGACGCTTTTACTCCGATTTGACGGCTAAGGGGAACGTTTCACCGCTGGCAGCTTCGAAGACAGAGATCCCCGGCTCCATCCCTCTCCACTCATCGCTTTCTCTGCCCCTCCCTCCCTTCTGCCTGACCCTTCGGGGCCCGTCCCGTCGGGCCGACTGCACTCCCGGCCTCCTCCTCTCCGCTCTCCCCCAGGTGCGCTCTCTCCGTCTGCTGTTTCTCTCCGTCCGTCCGATCTTTCTGCCCACCCCGTCACCGTCTCGCTGCCCGAGCTGTTCGGTAGTCTCAAGAACTTGAGTTTGGGAGCGGACAGTAGAATTTATAGAAGCTCTAAATGCGGGGCTTATAAAAATACCGAGGAATGGTCTTTGAGGTTTATGCACTCGTAAACTTTTGCTGATTGCTTCTGGGAAGTTGTCAGGCATTTAACATCGCGTTTATCTTACAGCGCAATGAAAACACATCTGTCCAGATCCTCGTTACCTGCTTTAATTGCACCGTGGCCCTCTGGTTGCGCGTTATTTCGGGGTAGGAGCGGCCCTCAGCCGCAGGAGGGAGCGCGGCCCGGCCCGCAGTGAGCAGCCCGACCGCATTCCCTCTCCGGCCGCAGCCGGACAGAGAGGAGCGCTGCGAGGTGGGATTCAGGCCGAGGGTTTCACGCAGCTCCCGGTCCGCCTGTCCCCGGCTCCAACGCCGCACGCCGGGACCGAGCTGCCCGGACAGCCGCGGGGCTCGAGGAGAGCTCTGCCTTCCCCGCAGATCCCTGCGTTTGTTCTTCTCTCGTTGGCAAAGTTTATGTGAGTTCGAGGTGAAGAAAAATAAAGGGTTAAAAATAATGACAATGACGGCCCCGCTGCAGCCCCTCTTAGTGTACAGCCCTCACAGGCATCTCCGCAGAAGTCTGTGAATTCCCGACTTGGCAAGAGCTCCATGTAAGGGTGAAGGACGTCCCGGGGCAGGGGCTGCGGGGGAAGCATCTTCCCATCCCGGCGCCGTGAAGCGAAGGGAGAGCTGCACAGGTGCTGACTCTATAGCGGGGCACATATGAACCGTACTGGAGTGAGAGTGCGGCCCCGCTCCTCCAGAAATGTGCTGCCCTAGGAGTAAGGAAGGAAAAGTCTGAGAGATCTGTGCCACCTGAGGGTCCCCGGGAAGACCCCCGGCCTCTAACCGACCCCTTCCCCGCAGACGACGGGCAGAGCCCCGGTCCCGACGCGGCACTCCCGATCCAAAATCCACAGCACCATCTCCTGGGCAGCGGGCGCAGTGCAGGGCTCCTGCGAGGCGCCGGGCTCGGCTCGGGCTGCAGGGAAGGGCCGGCGTGGGGTTGGGGGCACCGAGAGGAATTGCCACCTGACTGTGCTGCTTTGAAAGCCGAAGCATAGGGGGTAAGCGACGGGCTTGGGTAGGAGTCAAACGACTCTGTATGTTTTATCTACACATTTACGTGGTCCCAAATCAGGGAATGTGTGTTCTTGAAATAGTCTAGAAGAACCTGGTGGTATTCCAGTTTCAGAGGCAAAACTGGGTGCACACACGCTGAGGCATTATGCTGAGGTTTATGGGGAAAACCAAAAGATCTTACCTAAATCAATGTGCTTCTCTTTCTTTCTTTCTTTCTTTCTTTCTTTCTTTCTTTCTTTCTTTCTTTCTTTCTTTCTTTCTTTCTTTCTTTCTTTCTTTCTTTCTTTCTTTCTTTCTTTCTTTCTTTCTTTCTTTCTTTCTTTCT